GCCAAGGCGTCAAGCAGAACAAGCGTAAGGGGGCAGATTTTCTAGCAGACGAGTGCAGCGATATAACAGCGCAGTACATCTAGTGTGGAAGATTACAAGCAGTGACAAAGCGAAGTAGCAAACTGTGGGGGAAGGAAAACGCTACGAATGAGTACAATGAGCGTTTGTAATAATAATAATAATAATAATAATAATAATAAAGTAAATTCTCGGGTTTGCGAGACATGCCCTTCACAAAATAACCAGTACTTCACTATCGTGTTACACAATCGCAACCACAAATCATCATCCTCATCATACACGTCAGCTAGAGGTGGGAAATACCTCAGCTACTGTGCCACAATACATAAAGGAAAAGGAAAATAAATACAACAGTTGCATGTCAGCTGGGCTACCAGCAACGGATAGGCATCGTTCCGGTAAGCTACCAGCCGGCTACTAGGCAAAAAGAAAAATTATTATGTTTTACGCTACGAAATGAGATCGCAGGTGGAGGGGGAGGCTAAAAGGTATGGGGAGGGACAAAGAAACTTACAGCAGGAACGCCACTGAGGTCGGCTCCTTGCCATGTCAGCAAGTGTATCCAGCCAAACGTGTTCACCGTCTTTTGGACCCCAACCAGGGAGCCGTGAAGCTCCAACAAAGGCCAGCTCCGAAGTGAGGGCCTTCATTCCTCTGGACGAATTCCGTGGACTGATCAATACGGCGGTTACCCAGGTGCAGGAGAAGGCACTATTGCACGCGGTATAGAGGGATGATGGGTACGCTCCCATTGGATTTACTAATCCATGCCAATAAGGCGGCGTATGTGGTACATTTGCAGGCGTGATGAGTATTCTTGTATTTCAGAAGTAAATATTGTTTGAGCGCCCCGGTGTGGCTGTGCCTGATGTAAATGTGGGCAAGATACCTACCTGCCTGCTACCCTCCACCTCGATTGCTGACTCAAGGAGACAGTTAGTCGTTGCTGGATGGGACGGGGTGTACCGTCCTCGTAACGATGCTAGGTTCAAAGAGCGGTTCCATCCTGTGTGGAACGGGCTACGGGCCAGCCAACGCCTTGAGTACGTCTGGTGTGCATGAAGGAGTGTGGGCCGGCTCCGTTGATGAAGCGCGGCTTCCATCCACATACCTTCCGATCTTATTGCTTCGGGTTTACATCGGATTTGGGGTGTGTGGGTGGAACTGTGAGTGGTGCAGCGCAAGCCACCCATGTCAAGTCAAGTCAAGTCAAAATAATGGGTTCATTTTCAGCATTTACACCATCACTGCGGATACCTGGATGATAATATCAATACACATGCTTGGGTAGAAAAGTGGGGGGAAATGCAGAACTGTTGCTCCAATAAGCGCTCGCGCAGTATGTTAGTGACTTTCACTGGGTCAACAAGCAAACGTGAGAGATAAGGCAAAACATGATTACGATACGATGACGTGCAAGAGAATTCTAAATTCTAAATTCTAAATTTCGAACGAGTAGAAGAGAAAGAGAGTTTTGGAAAGATCATTGTGAAGTAGATGAAATCGATCAGCTAGTACCTTAGATGAAAAAGCATTGCAGGCATCAAGATGTCTAGAGATGATCAACTCAAGTAAAGAATCTCTAGACAAACCGCTGCATCTATAAATGTGCTTTCTAGATCGCACCAATAAGATGTAGTCTTTCTGAAGCAGACCAAGAAAAATGACAGGAGAGCAGTATAGCTAATGGGGAATAATGCAAGAGGTCACAAACCTGAATATTAAAGTACAAGGTACTGAAATCACCTTTGAGTCTGATGGCATAAAAAGAAAGGTTGCTGACTTTTTGAAAGGTTTTACAGACGTGCGCGGACCAAGAAAGGTTCTGGGACAAAAAAAACCGCAGAGATACTTGACGGTGGAAGAGCTGAGTATGAAATTTTCATTCACAGTAAGTGTGGGGAAGAAAACTATGGGGGATTGCGACTTATCGTCAGGTAGAAAAGAAAATATTACATCTCTGATTTCAGAAGCATTAAGCGTAAGAGCTCTGGATGAAGACCATTCCACCCGATCTTCCAATCCACGTTGAAGTGATGAAAAACCCTGGTTAATGGGGGACATACATTCCAGCACATCATCAGCATATCTACACCCTATAAACGTGATTTGTATAGAAAGATGTTCAACATACAAGGAAAATAGAGGTGATAGAATCGCTCCCTGTAGAACACCACAGTCGGCACGGAGGACGGAGGATTTCTTAGCGCTCAACTTGGTGAAGTGAGTACGATCTGTAAAATAGTCACGTAACAAATTACACACAGCCAGGTGAACTACATTTTCGGATAGCAGGTTTAGCAACCTTGTCCCTTCCAGGCTACCAAAGGCATTCGATTAATCCAGGAAGAGAAGCCGTACGGATTTACATTTTTGATGTAATGCAGAGGGTATAGAATGAACAACATATAACACTGCATCCAATGTGGAGCGCTGGCGTCTATATGCAAACTGGTAGATATCGTCTTTAGGAACGGCTAAAAAATCCGCGGTATTAACAGTCTTTCAAAAAACTTTTAGGTGCACAGATGTACATGCAATTGGGCGATACTTTTTAGATCCAGTTTTTGGTAATAGAGTAATAGTGGCCGTTCTCCAAATGTCCGGGATCACACCCGCAGTGAGGCATTTGTTAAAGAGGTCTGTTAGAGGCAGTGTGAGAGAATCAGAACACTGCTTCAAAGCTAATGGTGACAGAGCATCCGGACCACAAGCTTTGGTTGTCTTTAATCTTTTGAGTTCCTTTTGGACGTTGGTTTGATCGAAGGGCGCGGCTGCACTTGAGCTAATGAAGAAGGGAAAGAAAGATGAGCTTAGTGAGGCGGAACTAAACTCCGAATTCAGTTTATCCACATCCTCTTCACCTCTCCGGCTGCCTCAGAAGTCCCCATGAATCACGACAGTTATGGTTGCCTAGAAATGCTTTGATATATAATTGGTTTAGTATTTTTATCTCGGATTTAATTGCCATGGTTAGGGTTTTGACACGGGTAGCATTCGTGCACTTGTAGGCCCATACTTTCATGCTTCGAATTCGCTTTAGTAGTGGTGAGGAAAATCTATCTGCTCTTAGATGGATCGTTTCAACAGGGTAACACATGTCAAAGCAATATTTGATGTAGTCCGTAAGATGGTCATATTCGAGCGACAGGTCCTCGTCGTTGAAAACCGAAAAATCAGTTAAAGAGAACATCGTCTGGAGCGTCGTGATATTTTCCAAGGAGCAATTTCGTCGTCTGATAACCTGGTCAGCGTTAAAAAATTAGACCTGCTGTAGACAACTGGACACAGTTTGAAAATACTATGGTCTGAGCTGCTCAAAGGAGCCCGCTTTTGTATGGCAAATAACTGTCGTTTATTTGTGAACACAGCGTCCAACTGAGCATCTTGTCTGGTCAAAACAGTCACTAGGTCTACCAAGCCAAGTGTCTTCAAGAATGTTGTATCTTTTCTATTGAAGTCGCCAGCAACAATACAAATAGAACAATATAATTTAAACAGTAGTGTTGAAGGAAGTTGATCTTCAAAAAGCTTTAACTCCGATGCAGATACGTCAAAACCAATGTATACGTTTCCAACGATGAGTGATCGAAAGCCACTTAGGAACTTCGGCTTGCACTCAACTAAATGGCAGCTTATACAGATCGCTGAGTACGTAAATATGATTGTTGTGTTGCACCAACGTTGATTAACGTAAGTTACAACGCCACCAACATGAAAATGGGGCTTCCCGGGGGGTCAGACCTGATGGGAAAATAACCCTCGAGTTAAATTACCCCACTTTCCACATCAGCGTGCAACCAGCTTTCTTGTAACAGAATGATTTCTGTAGTAACATACTTATTTCGCTGCATAACGACACTGAGTTCATTGATTTTATCAAGGAGCGAGCAAACATTACTGGAAAGTATCGGTGGGATTTGCGCTTTGTCGACAGAACAACGACTGAGGCCAGATTGCCAGCTAGCACAAGGCTTGCGCTTTTTCGAAGGCATTATATATATATATATATATATATATATATATATATATATAATGGTTGGCGGCATCCGGTTTCGAACTTGTCTGTCACTGTCGCTAGCCACAGGACGCCTGCGCCTACAGAGGGATCATGGGTGGCTTGCGCTGCACCACCTAAAGCTTCAACAACACATCCCCTAATCCAGTGTAAACCGGAAGGAATAAGACCGGGAGGCATGTGGATGGGAGCCACGTTTCATCAACGGAACCGGCCCACACTCCTTCAAAGTAAACACAAGCACGCTGTATTTGGGGAATCAAGCGCACACAAGGCGGTGGCTGGACCGTAGTCCGCTCCACAATGAGTGCATGGAACCACTCTTTGAGTCTAACACGGCCACAAGGACCGTGCGCCCCGGCCCCTCCAGCAACGACCAACTGTCTCCTGGTGCCAGTATGGAAGAGGTAGTGGGTAATAGACAGGTAGACACCTTGTCAACATGCACATCAAGTGCAATCACACCGGGGATACCAAACAACAGTCAATCACTTGAGAGAGAGATACAAGAAAAATACCTCGATTAATGCATAAGGAAACGGTGACATAAACCTTAAGTTAATGAGCATATGAAATAAGTTGTTTACAAACGAATCCTAGATAAGTTCACGAGGTCAGAAAGTATACTTTACGGAAATGCCAGGAACACAAAAATGTCATGGAAATCGAAGACAATTGGCTTAAGCGAGGTGTGCAAGTTAATGGAATAGAGTACAAGTGGATATTTATATGAGAAAGAGAAGCATTAAGGCAAAATTGAAAACCCACCACCTGAAAAAAATATATATCGTATGCACAATGACGTGTAGATAAGAGACACGAACACAGCAGTTGCAAACATGGAAGAGGGCAACCGGCAAAGTTCAGTAGCAAAGAGAACTGATTCAGTTCGGTAGGAGGCGAGTAAGCTAAAAGGAAAACAATGGTACAAGTGACGTAGTTGAAAAACCACGATTCCTACCTTTTCCAGTTGTTCGAAGTAAGACTGTATGGAATCACCGGAGACACCCTTTGATTTTCGATTGCTTCGAGGGCCAAATAGGAAATTCTTTAGATCTGGCCATCGGTTAAGAAAAGCGTAAAACCACGCCTGACTCGGATTGATGTATTTGAAGGGAGCTATGCGACCAACGGCTTTGGTCATATCCCCAGCAAGCTCAACCACCTGAGGTGAGTAAAAAGTAAACAGAATGACACGTGCAAGGGGAGTTTCGAAACAGTAAATCTTACCCAATTAGATGATGTTGGTAAGTTAAAGTAAAAAAAATAATGTGTCAGCTTATACGCCGTAACGGCGCTTCGCTGCCGCGCGACCACCACCAGTCGCGCGCGGGCTGAGTATACCGCGAGGACGCCCACCCCTACGCGGATTCGAACCGGTGACCTTATGGTTGGAAAACAAACGTGCCAACCACTCGGCCACCGGCCGACGGTAAGTTAAAGTAAGGGCTGTGTGGCTTATGTTGCCATATCCTGCGAAAGTAACCAATTACTGTTCCGTCTCCCCTGACACAAGAGGAATAACCAACACAACTATTCGCATCACGGTGCATCTACCTCCAAAATCCCAAGACAATGGCCTCGGTAAAACCTTCAATTGAGCCCCGGACATAAATTGTATAGAAATTCAAAACGGATATAATTATATGGTTCAAAAGAAAAGACATATGGGGAGGTTCAGTGCTACCAGAAGCCAATAGATGCTAGCAGCTAATTTTATTGGCTGTCACTATAGCGAAAAGGGTTACCGCTGCCTGATTTCAATAGAGAAACGCTCTCACTAACTGAGTCCTAGTCAATGAGCTTCGAGCTGGGTTAGTGTCAGCTTTACTTAGGCTACCGGTGAGGGAGAAGCTTGAACGGCCTTTGTAAGCGGATTCCCTTAGGAATAACTACAACACCGGCATAAGATTATTGGGAAGTCTAAAGAGGTATGGCAAGGTATATATTTTTTGAGAACCAGGGTAAAAATAAAAGATAGTCGAACAAAAGGCGAGTGCAGCAAATCGTAAGCTGTCGCTGCTAGGGTATGGATGGTAACAACTTCCGTGGTCGTGGAGATTGTGAAACACAAAAATAAGAATCCTTTCTCACAGGTCCGACGCTGGGTTGTGTTAGAAAGCGTTCACATACTTTTATTGAAAGTGAGACAGCAGTCATGTGAACGGAGTACGGAATTGTACACTTACCGGAGATGAAAGGAACGAAGGAAGCGTTGCCGATCAGACGTAGCTGTAGGTGGACACGGGAAATCGTTTACGACCGCACAGTACATATGGGCAACTAGAAGCGCTGTATAGATGGCGCCCTTCAAGTAAGGCCAATCTAAGGTAAGTGCAGTAATAAGGAATCGATTGAACATGTATCGGGCTTCAACTAACCCTAGAGTAGGGCCGGTTGCGGATTGGTATGTCCACCTTGCAGCCCACAGGTCACCGCTTTGAATCCGCGCGTGCGAATCAGCTAGCAACCTCGCAGTACCCTCAGCTCACCAGCGAATGGTATTAGTCGTGGGATAACGCAGCCTCGGTACGACGTACCATTGTACATCTGATGTCTTATTTCCTCTAATCCCAGAGATTAAACACTGAGGGAAATTCAGGTGCTGTTCCAATCATCAACAAAGTGAAAGCTCTGCGGCAATGCTGGTAAACAACTGAATAAGAAACGCTGAGATTATTGATGCACGCAGGAGAAGATAAAGAAAGACGGAGATCACGCCCAGCGCGCATAGAGGTGACAAAATCAAGGTGACGGACTTAAATGTTCAGAGTGTTATCCTGAATACACGGCATTCCCCTCTGTCCATCTATGTCAAAGTCCATGACTGGTTGCTGCGTTTCTTGATTGCTTCTTGTGTATGGATTGATGTTCCAGTGATTGATGAGGATGAGGATGTTTAGGAGGAGGAGGAGGATGATGATGACGATGTAAAGAATGACGGGGGATTTGTAAGAAGGCCAAGAAAAAGTACCGGAAAGTACCAATACGCATCAATTTATCAGAACGATGGGGCCAACTGAGGCAGCTGCTAAGGTCTCACCTGGTTTCTAGTGTAGGGATAGCCAATCTTGCTCATGAACAGAATATGATCGACCATCTTCTTCTCCTCCTCATAAGTGAAGAAAGTCGGCGGTCCAGGGCGTGAGCACTCCAAACTGACCCGCCCGTGAACTCGATCGCGCAAAGTAGACTCCGGCACATTGAAAGCAGTTGCTGCACCACGTAGGGACATGCCTTGGTATTTCACGGCGTTGTACGCATTTGTCATATCTCTTTGGGTCCATCTTCTTCTGCGAGTCTAACAAATGACCAAGCTACATACAAGAGAAACTACCTTCGGGCGCTGTAACAAACGACCGCTGACGGAATCAAAATTGGGATATAACAGTATTCGCTGCTGATAATCGTAAGTGCTTGGTAGTAGATCGTTTTCATCTCTATCGTCGCTTTCCAAAGGGTCATCTGAGTCGGAGTAGTCGTCGCCCGCTTTCATTAGATCCAGTGTGACAGACTTTCGCTGAAGTTCGCTATGCATAGTTGAGCAAATCACGCTAAAAACAAGAGGGGACTGATTAAAAAGAGGGCGCCACTATCTGGCAATAAGTCATTTATTGAGTGATGGGGGAAATGTTGGTGTGGTCACTTCCGTTCAGCTCAAAGATAATGAGACCAAGGAGAGCTAAATGAAAGTGGCAAAGAAACACAAGAAAATAAAATCCAGAGGATGATTAACGGTTAAAATCGTCCTATGTAAATATTAGATTACTGGTCCCGTCTCTACATGTCCGTGACGACATCAATATCAACATCATCAACAGTGCATCAGCCATTTGTACTGATGGTTCGTTGCCGTACAACCACAACGATCAACGAAAGGAAGAACAATAAAAGGGAGAAAAGAGAGACCTGGTGTAAAACCTTAATGCCATAAACAAACACATAGGGTCAAGGTGGCTATACCCTGTCACAATATACCTTCATAATCAGCTAGCTATAGTGCAAGAAATCGTCAAGAACCCTAATCCAATCAGATGCGATGACTAGAAGGGCAGATGGCTCGATCCAACAGCAGGTCTACAGAAAGAAAACCTGGAGCAGCCAGTATACGAACTTCCAGTTTCGGTCCATTGAGATATAAGTGAAACCTAATTCGCTGTCTAACCACAAGGGTCCACCGGATCTGTTCTGAAGACAGGTTGGATAACGAGTTGGCGTACATACAGAACTTGCTACGCGAAAACGGGTATTCCTACCGTTTCATTCTTAAGAACACGCAACAAATACGACCACTTGCAAGTTCAAACAGCAGGGCCACTTACATCGGTCTAACGGCGCGGCATCTGTCGAAGCGCATTAAGGAGCACCTACCACACTGGCTGCGTCGAGACGGTACCGGGGTTATAACTAGTTCTGTTATGGCTCGTCTTGTTGATAGTGGGTATGAGGACCCAATCCGTGCATTTCAAATACTATACAGGGTTCCTCCAATCCAGTCTAAAGGCCTGCGCCCCCGTACCCAATCTACCTTCTAGGCGATCCGCATTCGGCTGTATCAACCGCGTTTGTGTGTACAAAAGAAGCTGGTCGAAGTTGTTAAGCTAACTTGGCCAAACAAAACGGATGATTCTGATGTCAGCTGCAGTCGTTGAACTACACCTTTGTCCTAGTTTGTCGTTTGTTGCTAGTTTATGCCCCTGGTCGGCATGTGATGGAATCTCATTTAACTGACGGAATCCGTTATTACGCCCATTGCTAGTTCACTCATATGACTGCACGGGTCTGACGATGAATCATCGAAAACAATTGTTTACCTTCGGTCCTTTGTTCTAGATAATTTAATGGGAATTTTCCAGTTACTGAGATGCGGAGACGTTTGAGAAGCTTACAGAGACAGGAAGTCGGTAAGTGTACAAAGGTGAAATATATAAGGTGGACGGTTTAAAGTAGGCGAGCGGTTCAGTAAGGCATCGGAGCTTGTCCGCGTCTAATGGATGGAGCATTAACTCGTTGATCGGGCAATGAGGATGTGATTCGCCAAATTATGGCAGTAAACTGAGATGCTATACCAAAAGAAAAAGATGGGAGAGTGAGAGATTGAGAGGAAAAGCTCCGGACTTACAGCGAATAACAACAAAAGCTTGCTTCTGTGTGAGATAAGGAGGCACCAGAAAGGCGCCTCTGTTGCAATTATAATAACAACAACGTGTCAGCTGCACGTCGTAATGGCGCTTCGCTACCACGTGACCCCACCACAAGTCGTGCGTGGGCTGAGTATACCGCAAGGATCCCACCCCTACGCAGTGGATTCGAACCGGTGACCTTGATTGCAAGCCATGCGTGCAGACCACTCGGCCACCGGCAGACATCCCAACAAACTCCGCCCACTGATAAATCGACAAAACATGCAGTTCGAAATCGCAGAGAATGAAAATAGCTCCTGCATCTCTGTGGTCCAAGGGGGCACTTTGGTTGGTACCTTCCCTGTTCTTTCAGAGGAGCCTCCTATATTAATACCAATGGGCCCCGCATCGAACTGAAAGCTCAGCTCCAAGGGTGCATAGTACGGGCAATACGGCTTGCTTGAGAAAGCGAACGAATACCACCTTCGCTCACTGATTTGCTGCCGTCCACTTCAACCCAAGTAGCACCTGAACAAAAAGCTGCAAACCTGTCACCAAAAGTTGATGGTGGTCGCATATATATTCTTTATAAGGATAGAACAATGAACAGTTTTAAGCGGATCCCATTGAGACCATGCGGCCACATGTTCTAGTTGGATAAGTCCTTAATTTTATTGAGTCCGCCTAGTAAAAAATGTTTTAATGAAACACCACCACACTGCCTTGTGAGTGAAATTGGTTCGCCGAAAGCTAGAAGTGATGAGATTCATAGAACCCCATCATGCGGAAGCACAATGGATGCGAACCAATTATCCACTATATCCGATCGATGGTGCTCTGTAGTTATCTATTACTATTCACATCCCTCTCATAGGTAAACCAACAAAGCTACCACTCAGTACAAACCGACCTGGAAGCAACCAGTCGGTGTAACGTGTAAGGTTTCGCTTTTGACGTATTCGCTTCATCAGTCCACGTTAACTGGCATGAGAATCTATGAAGCTTTTAGCAAATGTAATCAAAAATTGCTATGTCAACAAGTGCCTCCAACCTAACGTGCTCATCATCTGTCGTACCCCAGCCAGGGAGTCGGGAGGCTCCAACTGAGGTCAAATTCCAAGTGATGGATTCTATTCTTTTCGAGGAAGTCATAGATTGGCGTCTTCGCTTTTTCCTCTATCTACACCCCGGTCGCACAAACAAAACACGTTAAAAGAGTCGGTGTGGTGGCATGCAGAATACGAGCCCGAGCCATCGGGGCGTGGTAGAAGAAATAAGGGTGTTGAGCTGTTCGCTTACTTCTTACGCTACATAAACAAAACGTCTAAAACGCACAGTGCTCATGCAGTGTTCCCACCACATGTGAGCCAAACTATGAAATTGCCGGTGGTCGAAAGTAATAAGCCAAGTTACGCCTGTCGATTTAATGGGTCAGAATTTACAACCACATAGTAGAGTAGAACAGACGGCTGCATTGTAGACTCCGCCCTTCAGGCTGAGAGTGATGTCGCACCGGCGCCAAAAATGGCGAAAATTGAGAAAAGCGTCCCGAGCTTGTTACAAAGTTAGTAACCTAATCTACTCCAATGGCCCTGATATACCTGCCCACCTGAGTGATTTTAGTTGATGCTCACCAAAGGTGAGTGCAGGGAGCGGTCCCGGCATCTAGGGGTTCAAAGCACGGCGTAAAACGGCTGAACGCCAAGATTAATCTGTCCAGTACTTCCTGGCACGTTCGTGAGCTATCACATATCAAGGAAATGTCATCGGCATAATTTAAGGCAAGAAGTCGATCAGTTGGGAAAAGATCCAAAAATTGTAGGTCGTGCCCAGTTTCCGTGACTCCGTCAGTCGCCAAATTAAAAGGAAGGGTGACAGCGGGAAACCTTGTCTCACACTTTTGGGGATATTGGAGGGCAACGTCAGTTTGCCATAACCATTCAGTCTGCCCAAACTATGTGCATAAAACGTTTTGTTAAAGTTTACGCTTTTCTCGGGCACGCCCCTTCTGATCAAACAACCCTAAAGGGCATATCGATTCACCGAAACGTAGACACCTTTGATAACAAGGAACAAGGCTAGGGTTGGTCACAAAATATAAGTGGCGGTGTCTTGACAAGTAACGTGAAGTGAATATGTGATTATTTCAGCTTCGATTTCAACTAAACGCAGCTTGTTCCTCACTAATCCGGCCTTCAAGAGTACCAGTGAATCTGTGAAGGACAACAAAGGCAAGTAATTTAAAGGTAATGTAGACCAGACTGATTTCCTTATGGTAGTCGCATTCCGAACGTAAGTCCCTTGAAGGCCGGGAAAATTACGGAGCAGCTCCAGTCGGTTGGAAGAGTGTTTGCTCACACAGATACAATAATAGAGGATGTAGAGTATCGACAAAAGAGGGCTGTAGCAAAAGTTCCTGGCACCGCAGCCCTATTCAACTTCAGCAGTCCGATTCCACCTATGACTTATGCGAGAGAGTGGGTTTGAATGGACGGTCAAAGTAACAAGGCGATCGCTGGCCGGCAACGAATCTAGCAGATCTGAGAAATTAAATTGATTTCCAAAACTCTCAGCACAACGCTCTAAGCGTTTTGAAAGGTTGCGAATATGATGTCTACTCTCGCCGCATATAACCTTGCTAGCAACTGAGCTACCACTACCCGTTTCCCTTATCGGACTGAACAATTTCCGTTGCTTACCAAAAGAAGCAGCCATTTCTACCACAAATGCACTGTGAGACCACCAGGTTTCGCGATATCTCTTCAGGCTAACACGCAGTTTTGCTCTCAGATCTTTACGACTCTAACTGCGTTCGCTCATAGCCGGAATGCGTTGGTGAGCATCTAAAAGTTCCAGAGACTTACTAGCTCCGCTAGTAAGCAGGTGTCTATGCCATCACAGCGTCGCCGCGAGCGTCCGCCGAAACGCCGAAACACACAAGTGTATAGTCGAAGTCCACGCTTGTGCCCCAAACCAAGCAACAGTTTTAAATGCAATCCCTCTAACGGTAACTAGTCGCCGTAAGATCGGTTCGTGTCCATGGCTGTCTGACGCTGGTAGGCATCACGCCACACTTCCGCCGTTGTTATGCCGGAAATTATCGCTGGCGAGAATTATGTGGGCATTTTCACATATGTGTAACAACTGTTCATCGTTATCATAACGACAGCTACACTCTACTGGCCGCCCAAATGCAGCTCATCAGTGGACAGTTGCAAACCCAAGCGTTCAGATCACTAGTCAGAACTACACTGTGTAATTCTGCCATGACGAAGAAGCTCAGTCGGTTGGTAATAAAAGTAGTCTTTCACTGAGTCATGACCCGGCTACCTATTGAGCTCACACAAATCCGACGCTTTAAATGAGCCAGCTAGTCAGATGGTGCACATCTGCCTACTGTCTTGGATTCAAGCTACCAGAGCAGCTCCAGCCCGTGAGCTAAAAGAAAATCCCACACGGGCTTGGCCGGCATTTCAACCTACAATGATAAGGTGGCGCAAGCATCAGTGAAATTCAGTGCAGTTGAACAATTATGGTCAGGGCACCAACATGCGGTGGA